GATAGGCAAAGGGAGGAGCAGTGGGTTGATGTGAGCCTCCAGTCTCGTGGGGGGACAGGGGCTGAGGTGGGGAGCGGTAGGAGGTTACAGAGATACAAGCAGGAGAGGGAGAGAGATGGGAAGTTGCACACATCCTCACAGGTGTGCTCTGCAGGCCTTGGAGGATATGTTGGAGAGAAGGCATGGATGCTAAGCTGTTAAAACACATGAGTAATAGTGGGAGGAGGAGGTTAGGAGAGTGCATGTGGGCTAGCATTCAGTTCTAATATAGTATAAAGTTAAATTTGCGTGTTACACAAATGTAGCAACAGTAATCAGGCTGCTCTTCATAGTGTTGTAGAACTCATGTTGCTCAAGGTCTGTCACCCGCATAGAAAAAAGCACATTTGAAGTTTCTGTCTCTCTGCCCTAACAGAGCACTTTCATATGCAGTCAGAATCTCTGATAAAACCCTTAATGCAAACAATATCGCACCAGCACTACAGAGTTCGTGTTGATGTAATTCAGGCTACTGGAGCAGTGATACAATTTGGAAATGGAAAGTCTGTGGATGATGTTGTGTCTCATCTGGCCCAGAGATTTTTTGATGAAATTCCCAAGGTGTGCTTTACTTTTTTTTTCCCTCCCCTGGATTTATTTTATATCTTTTTCTGGGTGGGTTTTTTGGTGTTTTCCTCCCTCCCTCCCCCTTCCCAGTTTCCAGCTTTCATTCATTCTGTTAAGATATGTAAATATGTCACATACAGGCTTTGCCAGTTGTACGCTATCCAAACCTAAGGTTGGCCACTTGTTCATCTGCTGTCCAATTCTTCAGGCAGTTGAAGTTTGTAGGCACCTTTTTATTTCAATGGACGCCCTCAATTCTGTCTTAGATTCTTACGCTAAGTCTCCCTGGGACTTGGTTCTGTGGCCTTTTCAGATGATTAACAAAGACTTCTGGTATTGGTCCCTTCACAAGATGTGATTGAGGCAGTAATTTTAAAACGTGCAACTTAATCATAGCTAAAATATTTTAACTTTTGAGTGGGCATATTCCTGTTTTTTTACTTAGGTTTCCTTTATAGCGAACAGAGAATATCATCTTCTGGAGATGTGGTTGGAAAGCTTCAAATTTCAGAGAAATGTACATTTCTTATATTCTCAGAGAGATACCAACCATGAGAATTTAAGAGTTTTCTGAGTTAGGTTTGCATCTTGTTTTCCTCTTGGAGATGTTTTTATTGTGCAGCAAATAGTCTAAGACCAATAAAGCCAGGGTGAGAAAACAAGAGGGAGCATGATACCTTGCATATTACTTAAGGTGCTTGCTGCAAGTGAGGAAATCGTGGCTTCTTGTAGCTTCTTCTGAGACTATTGATGCACTTTACCAAGTCTTATATATCAAAAGTAAATACTATTTTTTAATTTTTCTGGTATTTTCCTGGCATGTTTAAAATAGTCTTTTTGTATCCATGTAGGTTCGGCATGCTGTAACAACTGTCATTGGAGAATGGTTGTTGCACCTACGAGACAGATACTCATATTTTCACAAGTTGATCCCTTTGTTACTTAGCAGCTTTACTGATGAAATTCCTGAAAATACGTAAGCAGAACACTTCCCCCCACCCCCCTCATTTAGTTGTCGTACGTGGAATTGTTTCTGTGTTCACAGATGTATTGTTTGGAGGGGAAAAAACCCACTTCTTGTTTCTTCGTTTTTTTCTTAAGCCCAAGATGACAGAATTATCCTCAGTAACTTTTGTTATATTGTTCTTCAATTCTACATTCAAGTAAGTATGAGAGAGATGAAGACAGAGAGGTAGACAGAGACAGTATTATCCTTTTGAAGAAGTGACCTCTGTCCACTGAGTACAAAAGAAACATAAACTCTCAACTTAATGTGCCTGGGTAAAATGGCAGGGATGCTTCCTATCCTTTCCGCTGAATTTAAGAAGTCAGATTTTCCATAAGTCTCCTTTTAGAAGTTTTTTCTTTAGGCATGATGGTGTAAACCTCTTATTTTATGTCTAGAAAACTGGCTTGGACTTACTGGGAAAAGATAGGCTTGCAGTGGGAGAAGGAAAATGAAGAAGATCTGAAGGATAAGATGGATTTTAGTGTTTCACCATCTCATTATCCCAAAGGAGGTAAGTGTTGCGCTGAAACTGGTTTCTACTTCCTGAATAATCCCTGAGAGCTGCAGTGCAGTAATGATCGCAGAGGAGGATGTGTAATATGCATTACAAGATGTAATATTAGTTAATGTATACAGGTAGCATATATATGTGTAAACATTATATATGGCATATGTGTATGTAAAATGATTTTAAATTTTACCCCCCCCCCCCACATTTCTACAGTAACGACATTATTTTTTTTCCCATTAATCCCAAAATGGATTTTGGAGAAAGAGTAAATAAAAATGCATATGCTGAAAAACTGGTAAAGCAGTGGTGCAGAACCAGGAGAAAGTTCTACATTAGCCAGCAGCCAGGTGGAGAACGGCATAGGGAAGGAAGGGAACGCAGGATGAAAGAAGCTGTGAGCTGAGTCCATGAATAATGAGAACTAGACACCGCATTAATGATCCACAGAATTGGCATGGAAGAAAAATTTGCAGTGAAATGATTTCAGGCTTCTTTGAGAGACGCTGCAATGCTGACTAAAATCTGTCATTATAAATGAAGAACGTGGGAACAGAAACAGTAATTCCTTTTATTATACACAAAAAAATCAAGATACGCAGCACGGGTAGATTACTTTTTTAGTACCATATGATTTATTGGTAGTTTTAAAATGATATGTTTTCAGTAGCTTGAAGCTTGTTTCCTGTCTCAGGTTCATGAAGTTAATGTTTAAGAATATGCACATGGGTGTTGGTGAGAGAAAGGATTTAAATGGGTCATTTATTGATTTCTATACTCATTTTTAACAGAACAAAAACTCTTTTGGTGTGAAAAAACAGGTTCATGCTTGACTTGTGCCTGTGTGACAATCACATCACAGAATACCCAGCAGCAAAATCCTTTCCATGACAGTGGGTTCCGGAGTTCGTTCCTCTTTGAAATTACACCTTTCTTCTTTTTTTTCCCTTTCTCCCCCCCCCAAGTTGTTTTACTCAGTAATGCTTGAATGAAAGGGGAAGCACTTCATAATGGTGACTGGTTTGACAGAACTGTTTAGCTTTGTAGACAGGCAAGTTGATCTGTTATCCATTCCAATTTTTCTTTTTTTTCTTTCTTCCTTAGTTTGTATCAAATATTACCTCAGGGGATTGTAAATGGTGAAGAATGCTTTTAGTTCCACTGGTGATGGCACAAATATATTTCTTTTTTTGGGAATCAGAAAAATGTTTAATATACATAAACTGATGAAGTTGAGTGTCTGAGCTCCAGTCACTTATTTTGCAAGGACCGTAATATAGTGATGGTCATAAAAGGCTTCATATGCTAGTCCTCAAAACAGTTGTTACCATTTATATTGTTAACACTGTTACTTAGTTCCATTTTCTCCAGGTGTGTGTTGGGTTTTGTGTGTGTGTACATTTTTTTGTTGGGTTTTTAGAAAGGGACATCCACCATTTACTTCATAATTAAATTATACGTACTTTCTGAAATAATCTTCTTAGCACAATAGATGTGTTTCATGAATTTGGGCAATATTCCATCTCTACATTCAATTGACTTTTCATGCATCATGCTTGGTAGAATAATGCAGTCAAGGCTTGAATGTGGTGTAGGTACACACACATATATATGTGTGAATATGTGTACATAACTAAAGAATATTTTAAAGAAATGACCTGACTTTGGGTTTGAGTCCAAAGTTAGTGATGACTTTAAGATATAATTTGCTGCTGCTTATCTTTACTTGCAAATTATATGTCTTATTAAAACAGTCAGGTTTTATGTGATAAAGAGAATAAAAACTGAGAGGGAAGAATAGCTGTTGGCCACTCAATCTTACAGATACAAAACTTTATCAGACACACCAGTACACCCTAGTTTCAAGTAATAATTTGTGGTGTTCTACCATGGACTGTATATGGATGAGTTGTTGTAATTTGTCCTTTCCCTCTCTTTCCCCTCCACAAACACTTGTGTTTCAGGGTTTTTTAATATTATAATGATGTGTTTTAACACTTTGTTTCCAGTTCTTCTGATTTATTTAATGTACTGGAATATCTGTTTACATCTGTAAGTTTTTAGTAGATTTTACTTAACAGTCTTTGTCCAGCTGTCAGACTAATGGACCTGACATATTGAAGCCCCCCTGTTCTTTGATCTCACAGTGACAGATATTGCAGGTCAGAGGAAGAATAGAATTAGATCTCATACCTGGTGTCATCCAACCAACTGAATAGCTTTCCACTGAGCAATAGCAGTCATTGCCTTAGGATACAGGTGCAGACAGTTTATAGCAGGGAAGTCTTTGACAGGAGTAGCTACAGGGATAAATGCCTGCATTTGAACATCTGAAATGGAGGAACTGCTGATAAAGAATGGTCCGAATTCTTTAAACAAAGTTCTGCCTCAGGTTGAATAGGATGCCAGTCTGTATTTGCTGTCTCAAGTTGATTTCTTTGTTTGACCTTTTGCTGTCATTGTCAGTTTTTATAATCCAAAATGTTATCCTCCATTGACAAAAGCAGCAGCAATTCATGTCCTGATGCTTGAATATTTTTCCCTGTCTTTTAGGTATTTCATAGGCATTTTGAAAGCCTTTTGTATTCTTCAGACCATTTACTTTAGTCTGGTTTTGGTTTAGCATTTGTACTTACAGGGGACAGTGAGGGAAAATATCTCATAATAGCTGTGATTTTTAAAATATTATCAGTTTGGTTGGCCTGATCTATTACACAGCACTTGTACAAGCCATAGTATCTTTTCTAGTCTTAATTTCCTAGATACACTTTTAACTTTTCCCTTAGGAGGGCACAGCTGACATTGTTCATTTTACTACAGTATCTCCTGTACTATGTGTGACTTCTACCTTTCCCCCTCCAAATTATATTTAACTCAGTAACACCACAACATTTGCATGCAGACATCTTTCTTCTGTTTTATATGTGTGTTTCAGTTTCTCTTTTTAATGGGATCTGTGTTACTAAAATTTAAAGGAAATTATTAAGATGTCTTTTGCAAAGTGGGTATGTCCCATATTCGTATAACTTCTCTTTCTCTTCCCCTTCTGTAAATATTTTGAAACACGTAATCTAAATCATCATCCGGTAATAAATACATAAATTTTCAGAGCTGTGTGGAGTTCAAATTCTGCAATACGCATTAAAGAAATGCAACTTTTTCAGGTAAATTCATTAGCAGCATTTGGAATTTTTTGTTTGTTTTCTTCTAGTGACTCGACCAGGTCTAGGTTGTCGGGAACTTGTTTCAAGAAACCTCTCCAAAATTCTGCCCGGTCTCTGTCATGATATCACAGACTGGGTTGAAAGCACAAGAATAAAAGCATCCCAGCTTCTGTATACATTATTGCTACATGCAGAGGATCACATAACACAGCACATGGAGCTGCTGCTTAGAACTTTGTACCAAGCATGCTCAGATGAAGAAAGCAATGTGGTTAAAAATGTAAGTTTAATCTGCTCAAGTATCTACACTGAGTAAAACCCCTATTTTTTATTCCTGAGTCTGTCTTCTAAGGGTTGACCTTACCTTAGGTCACTGGAAATTGACAATAACTGAAAGATCAAGATCAGGTTTTTAAGGATGTTAAAATAATGTGAACATTTTACTTACTTACTACATTAAAATAAATGTATTCTTGTATTACTGGTATGGAGACCAATAGTAAAGTATTTAAATACTGATTAGTTTATATGCCAACCCCATGAAGCACTTATAATGATCTTTCTAAAAATCATAAGCAGTGGATTAAAGTATAAAAGCCTTGGTGCAACATATCAAATAAAAAGAAAGTCAGGCCCTTTCATGTTAATTTCATTTATCTCCCCCTGCTGCATAATCCAGCCATAATTCCAACCAAATATTGAGCTGTGTTTATTCCATGTGATACCCACAGTCAGTGTTTGAATCCTTCACTTACTTCTTGTAAAATGCTTTGCTTTTTTTTTAAATGTTTTTTTTTTTGTGAAGAATAATTAGTATCATTTTTTCCTGACAGTTGATGCTTTCAACACTTTGATGATCAACAGTAAATCAATAAATCAGATGTAGTCGAGGACCTTAGATAGTTTTAGCAGAGGATAGACAGGTGATACAAATATTTTTAGAATTCTAAGATAAAATCTTCTGTTAATTATTTCTACACAAGGAAAAGAATGTAAGTATAACAAAAAAAAATCATGTAACTTACTTTAAAGCTACAAATTTTATTGCTTTAGGAATCTGGAAGAATGTATTCTGCTTACTGGATTCTAGTCCAGTCAACGTCAGAAAAATTTGCTTCCTAAATCAAGGCTTTTGTTTTGGTTCCTGCTGTCAGTTGAGCTATAGAGACCATGAAATCCAGTTTTGAAATAATCATTTTTCTTCTTTTTTTTTCCCCCCCCACTGCAATTTCTTGTTGTCTTTATTCTTTCTCAGTACTAACTGCTCTCTCTTTCAAAAATTGCTGAATTGTTTCTCCCCTTCCCCCAGTTCTTACTCAGTTACCCCTTCTGGCTATTCCACCCCTTCCACCTCACTTTTCAGAACCAGTATCTGACCTCTAACCAGATTACGTTACAGTGAGATTGAGTTTATAAACTAAGCCAGTTACACACTGATCAGTAGTAGAGAGAAGTAAACCTGGAATACTGTCAGAAGTCATCTTGCTGTTTCAAAAAGGGGTATATGGGCCTTAGGAAATCAATGCCCCATGACTGAATTAAGAGATATGCCACTATGGGTATACAGCTTTTCAAGTTCTTTAGTCTTGTGTAAAATACAAAGAAAACTTAAATAATTAGAAGAATAAGCCCACACAGCCCTGCTGTCCTGGTAAAATTTTATATCTAGTGCTTGTTGCTATAAATTCAACAGTAGGTGTTGAAGCAGCACATAGTTTTCCCTTGCCTTTTTTTGACCATACTTGTCTCTTAGAATTCTACTGCTAATCTTCTTGCAGGTGCTTCCAAGAGATTTATTCCCAATTAGCAGATGGTTTCTGTATTTAATTTTACTCTTTCTTGTGCCAAAATTTAAGATTCAGCAACTTTTGTTTCTGGATGCCTTTTATGTCCTCAGTGATGCTACTTCCCAGGGTACTGTGATTATCTTCCCTGTCATTTGTCACTGCAGAACCCATTTCAGAGCAGCCTCCACCTTGGGAAATGTGCATGGCTTTCGCTAGCCTAATAATACCGAATGAGATGTATAAAAGACCAGATGGTCTCTTATTTCCCCCCCGCCCCTCACTGTTAAAATGAGCAGATAAATTGATCTATACAAATGTACAAATTCATATTGTATCAGTTAACATTTTTGAACTGTTTAATTGTATTGTCCTCTTCTAGTTTTCAAAGCACTAAGAGTCTTTCATTCTCTGTGGCAAATATGGAGGAAGACAAGAGTTCACATCTACATGGGCTATGTTATAACCGTTTTGAGTCTTCACCTATGTGAAAATAAACAGCTATATATAGTGCAGATTTAAATTATAGAATTCATAGCTACATGCTTCTATCAAGACTAAAAGACCAGCATGATCCAAATGTTAATTAGATGCAATTAAAAATCCATTGCTAAATCACTAGACTAGAAATTATATACAAAGGGAAATAAGTTTTCATAAGCTTTCAGGGAAATGAGCTAACCATTAAATAAATGGGTTAGGAAGAAATGTTCTTGTTGCACAGGTAGTGGCGCAGTAGTTGACTATATCTTTCTTTATCCACGCACCTGACTGTAAATACTGGGCATCAGTCAGGCAGTAAGCTCTGGTGTGATGGTATTTCATGTAGCATTCAACGTACTGTTACATCTGCAAAGCAGAGATGGGATCAAAGAGCATGAGTGTCATGGGAAATGTACAATTATTTAAGCCTTTTCAGTTAAAGAAGTGAGAGACTGAAAGCAGTGGGCAGTTCCTCCATGGCAGTGACTCCACACTAAACCAGATCTGTGATGTCAGTGTCAAAATACTGGGCAAAACAAAAAAAAATTTTTCTGTCATGGTTTTATTGTTGCTGCATTTAATAGATGGGTGCTGGGTGCATTATGAGCGTGGTTCAGAACATCATTTGGAGGACAAAATGCTAAACCACTAAATCCACAACATCTGATTATTCTAAACTAGACACTTCATTACGTTAAAAGTTGTACAATTCATTTGTGTGCATTACTTTCTCCTGGAAGTTTGTCTGATGCTGAGAAGAGTGCTTGCGTGCCTTCTGTGGAAAAGGCGAGTGGAAAAGGCCTACAAGGCAACTGCTGGAGCATTTAAAGTAACAGTTGGAATGATAAAAAGAAAAAACCCATGATATATTGAATGGTCTTTGTGTTTTCAAGAAAATCCTCAAGTTATTCTTGTTCTTTCTTCAGTGTGTGAAAGCAGCAGAATTGATCGGAACGTTTGTCAGCCCTAAGGTGTCATTGAGATTAATCACATCAGCCTTTGGGAAGACACCTAAGCCATCTTGTATAATGGTTCTAACTGCAGTGATTCGAGGTAGCCCAAGAGAAATCTTACAGCCTCATTTGACTGATCTTGGGAACATGCTGTCGCAAGCTGGAGTTTGTCAGCAATCTGAAGAGGTAAGGATACCTGGAAAATGCACAACAGACTACAGTTCCAGACTGGTGGTTTTTCAAAGTATGTTTTAACGCATTCTCCCTAAATGCTCCTATTCCCGTCTCTTTTTTGCACACCTGCCCCACCCTATCTTGGGATATAGTCATGGATGTGTGTCTGAGACAAAATGGGAGCTTCCCTGTCCTCCCTGGGCCATGTTGGGGTCTCTTGGTCAAATCTGCTATTCCCAAAAACTTGCTAGCAGTCCATCCTCTCAGCAGATGTAGGTTCAAGTTTGAGAACTGCTGTTAAAGGCTTCAGATAGTGAGAGGAAAATGAAAAGGCATGGTGGGGAGAGAAGAAACTGTTTAGTATGTACTGTACTAATAGAGGACTACCTTGCCTCATCCATAGGCAGAATTTAACCCATGTTTTGACATGCCCTGTGTTTACAATCCAAACAAGATCATACATTTCAATCCTCATCAGTAAAAATTACCTAAAACTTTTCACAGTCCATGGTAAGTAGCATGTCAGGTTTTCCAAGAAAGATTCTTAATGTCATCATCTTTTTTCTTTCGTTAGCCGGTTTAAAAGTACGTATATTTAGGAGCATGCTTTGTAAACTGTTGCTTGGTTGCTGCTTCTTAAGTGAGAATCCATCTTTATAAATCAGAGATTTACTCATAAGTGTACCTTTAACGAATGGCTGAGCCTTTTCATTTTACCATTTGAAGAATATTCATCAATTGCTGTAAAGAGGTGAGAGATAGTCTTCAATGTGGAATGGCGATTTTTAACTTCAGTTGCTCAGATGTGGGAATAGATCAGTTAGAGATGCACAAGAAGAATCCCTGAAATTTCCTCCACAAATTAAATCACAGCTTTCATTCCACCAAAAGTTGTTAGGCTGCTGCTTTTAAGATGACCAAAAAAGGGCTAGTGCTGGGCCTTCAGAAAACTGACTTCATATCAGATGCAGACTTCCTTTTAAAAGTTAGTCATGTGTGTAGACTGAATCCAGCGTAATTGGCTTTTTGAGCCAATGTAAGAGACACGTTTGAAGTTTTTCCTTCATTAGGTTTATTCCCTAATGGGGTATGTACCAGTGGTGCAGAAATTAACCTTAATCTCCATGAAGCCTGTGATGATTAGGAACTCGTATAACTGGAAGCACTATAACCTGATTGTTCAAATAACAATTACCTGAAGGATATCTGCAAAATTGCTGTTAGGTGTTAAGCTTACCACTTCCATTTGGCATTAGATACAGTAGACACATTCAGTTGCACCTGAAGCGTTAGGTGGAGCTGTTCTGGCCTTTGGTCTTGGAAAAACAATCTTTTACTATTTTAGACAATGAATGCTGCATAGGCACTGTTTAGCTAAGGATTGACCATGTCCATGAGATTAATAACATTTATAGCTAACCTATTCCTAGACTTGATTTATTTTTAGAAGTAAATGTAACAATAGCCCCTTCTGTTCATTGGATGCAATCTAACAGTTTCATGGAATGTCTAATGCCCTTTATCATAGAAGTTACTGAAAACTGACAACAATATTGACTTCACTGGTATCAGCTGGATCAAGATAACCTGAATTATATTGCATCAAATGAGACAGATTGGCTGAGATAAAAGCACATGCTCAGGTTTTCTTGGTTTATGTGGTTAACCATTATTGTTCCATTCAAATAGCCAAACATGGAAAAATATTTGAAAGAGTTATAACAAGTACCTTATTAATTAACAAATTGCACTTCAGAATGAGGAAGTACTGTCAGTAAGTGTTCCAAAATGCTTTGATGTTTTTATTCACAATGGAATAATTGTGTTGGTAAGAGCAGGATCATTTATTTTGTTAACTGGATAAGGTAAGTACGAGCAAACAGTGTGGGAGGAAGATTATATTGTATTCTGTAAAAAATAGAATATAGGTAATCAAAAGAACATGAAATTATCGATATGTTACCAATTTTGGGTATTATATAGTGCTCAGATTTTATTATTGTCATTTCGCATATCTCTTTCTTAAAGAGGATGTTATATTTTCTAACAAAACGTAACAAATTTATGCTTTTATTAAAAAATAGGTCTTTTATATGGAGCAGTTACTTAGCTGTGTACAAGCACTGATTGAAGTATGCCAGGAAGACTGCAAAGAAATCAGCTTGCAGCTAATGAAAGTTTTGGTGGCAATAATGGCAATACCATGTTCTCAGCACCTTAAAGAAAAGGTAACCTATGAGCTGGTGTAATATTTTGGTGTGATTCTGATTTTTCACTATTGATAAGGCACTTTGTCTAAACAGAGCCATAATTATTTGTCTTGCTGTTAGGTTTAAACCACAGAAATCCTTAACTCATCCACAAAAACTGTTAGAGTTTGAAATGATTTGGTGTTGCATGACCTTGACTGTGCCCTCTGTCTGTCTCCTCATCTTTTTCCCATAGCTGAAATTACTTTGGGTTTAGTCTGTTTAAAACAGATAAAGGCAACTCCAGAAGAATAAATCCTTAAAATCTTATTTGTAAGAGCTAAGAATTTGTACAATACTACTAGTTTTATTTGGGGATTGCTTGTTTTTCATCTTTGCCCACATGTGTGAGTGTGTGTGTAGCCATCTGTTTCAAAAATTATATAGAAACATAATAGTTTAACATTTAGATATACATACAACTTCAAATTAAACCGATTCATGTTATGATGAAAGAAGCATGAGGAAATACTTGGATTCTGTGTTTAGTCATAAAACTGTTCTGCAAAGATCAATCCCTATGGCACTGTCTGGTGGTTAGTTAATATTTATTAGTCACTGTGAAGGCTGAAGGACTTTATCATTTATCAGTCAAAACACTGATATTTCTGCTTTGTCAGCTCACAGTTCAGTTACTAGATGCTGCACGTATTTTGAGGCGAAAGTCTGAAGATCTCTGTTTAGTTGGGTGCTGCAAATTCACAGGGCTGTAACAGATTGGCTGCAACAGAGACTAGGGTCTTATAAGTTACTTCTTTTATGGAACTGGGAGACAGGGTGGTGCTAGGGTTAGGGTGGGACAAAAGTTGAGGTTAAAGTCTAGGGCAGCAGTGGTGCTGGAAGAGCTGAATGCACTGTTGCATCTTGCAAACACTGTAAGACTAGAGCATTCACTGATGTTTCTAAGGCAAATTTTAGCTCCTACATAAGGGTGGCTTGAAGTACATTACCGGAGCGTGGGAAGTTTACTGGCCTAGAAGAACACTTTACTTGGGTGGATATTAATCTGAGCCCTGGTTTAGGTAAAGATGTTCAAGTGTTTATGCTTGTCCCTGGATTCTGCAGAACCATGGGCATGCTGCTGGTGCTGCTTGAACTGCTGATGCTTACTTTTTAGCTGGATATAAGTCACTGGATTTTTGTTGAAGTTAGGTTATATACAGGAGCACACAAGTGGCTAGGAAAAAAAATCAAATTTATCTTCTGAAAAAGGACAATTAATGAGCAATTCACCTATAGATCAAGGGCACTACTAGTCTAAAAAGGTGATAGTTTCATAATATTTTTTTTCTTATCTTTAGAGGAAGATCAGCCTGTTTCTTACAGTAGTTGACCTTTTTACCTCACCAGCAGAACCAAAAGTTTAAATGTTGCAGGAATAATCAAGGACATCTGTAGATGCCCTGGTAATAGATGAGCTTTTTTGGCTAACCATTATCTCACCCCCTTATTTTCTCTCTTCCTCTTTCTTCCCCAAGCTAAATACCAAATAAATCAGCAAGCCATCCTAATGTAGTATAATTGTGACCTATCCAAGTTGTCTTTTTTCCAAACGTGTGCCTCAAATGCAATGGTTATTCTACTTCCTTTTCTCTTGCTCCCAGGCATGGTATTCCAAAGGCCTGTGTAGCATCAGTATTTATGGCCACATAGATGACAGGCTGCCTCCATGAAGCCATAACACTTAGAAAACTATTCTGAAAGAAGTGAAATAGAACAAAGCTTAAAACAAGAATTGAAAAACACTTTGCAGGTCAAAGAGGTACAACATGAAGATCTGTCTTGTGGAGAGCCAGTGCGAGAGTGGGATTTCTGGGGGGTTAGTTTTGTTTTTGTTTTGTTTTAAACAAACAGGCTGTCCAAGCAAGCCTTGGACAGATGGATCTGCTATGTTTTGCAGTATCTTGTCTGTATAGCCCTACAGTGGTCTATAAAATTAGCAATGCCCATTTAAAACCTTACAAATTCATACTCCTACAAAGAAAGCAGTTTCATGGAGATAAATCTTGATTTTCACATACGGAAAAGTTAATCTCCCAAGATTATTAAAGGTTTAAGATGTTCCTGCAGTTGCAGCTGATTTTTAAAGTTGACAGTACTTTGGATGAGAATCCTTTTTCTCATTAGCTTTTCTTTCAGCTAGACAGATCGAAAACCTGGCAACGAGAATACATGATTTCAGCGTTTAAGTTTTGTCACAGAGACAAACATGGCTTGAATTTTTATTTTATTTTTTCCCCAGTTACTGACTATTCTAAAACTTCAAAGTGAGCTGTACAATTCGCAGAAAGCAAGAAGTCCCTGTTAAAATATCTTAAGACCCAGTTGGACAAATGTATTTCAGCTGGCTTTACAAGTATAAATGTGTTGTTTGGAAATTAAGTCCGTATTCAGGATCAAAAGAGTCTGAGTATAAAAATAAATTATTCAGTAACTTGGATTATAGAACTTCAATTCAGGTTTTACTACAAGGGGACAGAAGATCACAAATAGCAGAGGCTACAACTGATGTGACCTGATTGTGAACACTCAACAGATTTGCTTGATTTTTGTCCATTTGCTTTGTGTTCATCAGTGTTTCTGGTTGCTTAGGGCTAAGGAAAAAGATGGAGACCACCAACTGAGCTCTTCAGTATCATGATGAGTGTGGTTTACAGCCCCAAATAGACTGAAGATGTATCAGTTGTTAAAGAGTCTGTTAAACATGTATTGGGCTTGTCAGTGCTTTAACTGGTGACCTAAAGATAAGATTTTGTTTCATTGCCAGTGGCCTGTGTTATCTTGGCTCTTCTTTCAGCTATTACTAGCATGAAAATAATGTGTCATTAAACTTACTACCTTTCAAATATAGGAAAGAAAATCACCCTTGCTATTTTTTTTTAACTGACACACTTCTTAATGAGAAGATATGTATCATTCTATCGGCATATTTAATTTATTCTTTTTTTTTTTTAATTGCATTCTTGCAACTATTTAAAGAGTTTATTTTAATCACCTGTGAACAGTGTATTATTTTGTCCCTCTTGTTCAGTGGAAAAAAACTCCTTGCAGAGCGTGGCAGGATTAATAATGGGAAACAGTTTCTTTCTTGACATATTCTGTTAAATGTTCCAATTAATTTACAGATAAATGAATATTTTACATACAAGTTGGTTTGGCTGGCTGGCAGAATGCTTCCATGAAAGGAGAAATCTTGTGCTTGAGGCAGGCAAACCTGCTTTAGGAGTAATCTTTGTCCTTAGCAAACGCTGGGTTGTTCTCTTTTTTTCCTAGAAATCTCATTTATTTTCTCCACATCTGGTACTTCCATAACAACAGCTTTGTCTGGCAAGTGATTAGTCTGTAAAATTCTAAAGGTCCCAGACATGTTTCAACTAACTTGTGCAGTTAAGTTAATCTTAAAAATATTAAAAAATATGACTACAAGTTGTAGTTCTACTGAGCCACTTAAAGTCAAATGATGTCACTCGCAGCGCTGCGCAGCATCTGTCCCTCCTAGAACTGGCCATGCTGACAAGGTATATTATTTCTCAGTGTAGTTTCTAACAGTGTCTTGCTCCCCATTCTTGATTCTCTGTCCAGTGAAATCACTAAGACTATAGATGTTGCTTCCAGAATGTTTTTAATCTCTTCTCTGAAGAAGTTTTGTACCTCTGGGAGGAGTCTTCAGGAATTGTAAAAGCAAATTTTCCTTTGTGTTGAAATACATCTGCTACACTGATTATGAAAATATGTATGTTTCCTTGCCAACCATGATCATGTCTGGAATTCATTTAGTAGGTTTTTTTTACATGTTTTATTTGTGCATGTTTTATTTGCCTGTCTCATGGGATAGTCTAAATGTAAATATGAAAAAAGTATTTCAAATGTAACAGGGAATTTTGGTACTTCTAAGCAGTTGAGAATTTCAAAATTAACCTGGTACTGTTGAGAAAGCATCCAGAATAATTAAAATTGGGGCATGGAAAAACAAGGGGAGAGAGGGAAAATACCATGTCTTCTCTGAGCTGCAACAACAATAGGTTCTGGAAGTTGCCATAGCCTGTTAGATGGGATTGTGAGAAATTGCCTCTCAATGTTTTAAAGCATTCTTAAATAAGAGAGAAACAAGTTTAAAACTATTCTTTAAAATTCTTTAAAACTACTAAGAGCTTTTTTATGATGTGGTTAGGTTTTGGATAGGTTTTTACATGGATTAGAGTATCTTTTGTTTTGCTGTTATGTTCCTGTGTTCCTTATGATTTCATTTTGAAATATATAGTATATATAGTATAGGCAGACATTAAATATCAATCTTGATTGTCCAAGTCTAAACTATAGAAATCTTCTTGTGTCCTTTCTGTTCTTACAGTATAATTATGAGTTCTAAAGATTTCTTTTTTTTTTAATCATCGTTTCAGTTAAGTGTCCTTTATCTGTTTTAACAGGTGGAGGAAACAATGTCTTCATTAGCTGAAGTGCAGCAATTCGATAGTTTTCTTTATCTCTACCAACAGCATATAATTCAGCTTATGGAATGGGTTTCAGTATCATGTGATAGCTGGACGTGCTATTCTCCAGAAATATTACAGTTAGATGTCATCGCAACTCATTCAGGTACAGCTTTTTTAGTAGTTGTAAAAAAATAAATGTGCCTGCAGACACATTGTGGTTTTTTATAACGGATAGTGATATATTTAGAAACTTAACAAGAATACAATGGAAAGCAAATTAAAAATCGTAGAATCACAGACTGGTTTGGGTTAGATCATAGACTTCCAACCCCCTGCCACGGACAGGGATGTCTTCCACTAGAGCAGGTTGCTCCAAGCCCCATCCAACGTGGCCTTGAACACTGCCAGGGATGGGGCAGCCACAACTTCTCTGGGCAAAGAACTTCTTCCTTGTAAGTAATCTACATCTACTGTCTGTCAGTTTAAAACCGTTCTCCCTTGTCCTGTCACTACCTGCCCCTGTCAAAAGCCCCTCTCCAGCTTTCTTGTTGGCCCCTTTAGGGACTGGAAGCTGTTCTCCCCCAGAACCTTCTTTTCTCCAGGCGGAACAAGCCCAGCTGTCTCTCCCTAACAAGCACACCTCTGCCTCCATAACAGAGGTACTCCAGCCCTTGGAGCATCTTCATGGCCTCCTCTGGACTGACTCCAAAAGGTCCATGTCCTTCTTACGCTGGGGGCCCCAAGTGCTGAACACAGTACTACAAGGGATCTCACAAGGGTGGAGTAGAGGGTAGAAATCTCTACCTGTTCTTCCCTACAGGGAATTCTGAATCAGCTCAAATTCCAAAATACTATTTCACTGCGAGGAGCATACTAAAAGCACTTAGGTAGAAGTGCTTTCAGGTAAATGAAACAGCTGATTGTGGAGAGATGAACTGATGTAGCTTGTGTGTCCAAAAATGTACCTATTTTTTCCATCTATTCACTACTTTTACAATGGATAATTTCTTTCTGTACAACACTTTCTCACTTGTGTTCTTCAACATATTGCTGTGTATAGATCAGTGCAACACTTTGGCATACATTTCACTTAGCTTTAGATCTGCACAGTGAACATTACTCTGGCACAGCTCTCAGATCACATCTACAGGCAAGGGACGCAGTGACAGACAGTTCTTTTTCACCTAGACACCCATTTTAAGATTATTAAAATGGAAAGTCCTGTTTAATTGTTTTTTTCCCGTTAGCTAAAAAGGGGATGTAGACAGTTACTTCAGTTACAGATGAAGTAATATTATTGCTCCTGCAAATAAATGTGGACAGGTATATTTTAAGGGACTCTATCTTCTGCGTTTAATCCTTGAATCTCAATAAAAGCCTCAACAAATCTATGTGAAGCACCCAGTTGCTGGTTTGTACAGCAACCAGTATATTTTCTTTTATTCATCTGTGGAAAGAAGAGAAAGTTTTTTCAGTGCAAGATCTGAGGGGCCAACTTTTCTGTACATTTGCACTCGAATTTCCATGACTGAGGGAATTCTAGGCAGTTGTCTCTGTTTTCCTTAATGCTGAATAAATCATCAAATGTCTGGGCAAACTTTTTGGCTTCCACCCAACACTGGTAATATGCTATTGTCTGTTTTCTGTCCGACAGAGCAGCTCCTAGAGCTATATTTTTGTTTCTTTTCATTCCCACACATAATGTTGTTTTTAATCAATCTAATCAGTTTTTCTCAGTTTTTGCTGCTTTTCAGGAACGTATGCTTAAGCTGAAATTAGCAATGTAGTTTGTTTTGTTTATTTTCCATCTGTTGAATTTGCTGTTATGGGTTTGGTATAATAATAGTATCTTTTCAATGTCTCAGAACTCACATGAAGCAATGTATTTTGAATAAATGCTGTGAAAATAAAGACCTATTTGTTGGCACAGAGATATAGAAAACTGCAGTTCAACACCCTGTATTGCTTCGGTCTAGACAGTGAAGATTTGGGGGGGGGGGTTATTATTATTTTAAACATTAAATTTCCAGATATTATTAAATACTATTGAACTTGGTTTGGAATCTTAAATAGTTCAATCTGCCCATTCCATGTGTGAAGAATATTCTCGTCATTAGAAATGCCAGTGTTGTGTCTCCTTCTGGCAGGATTTTCAGAGTGACTAGAGTTGAATGGAATGTGCATCACAAGGATGCAAAGCTGAACAAATTCCTAGGGGAAAGCAGTTTTTTGTAAACATATACCATTCTGCAGCAAGAAGCTTGCAGAATAAAGCATGTGTATAGTCTATACGTATTTTCGCTCTTTAAAACCATGCAGATGTTAATCATCACCAAGGAGAAAGGCACAAACTTCCTTCTGTTTTGGGAAAATCATTCCTTCAAATGTTGGGATAACAGCTATGGGGTTTTTGGTTGTTGTTTAGTTGTGAAAACAATTTGTCATGGGATGTGGAAAGGTTAAGAAACTAGAGAACAGATTTGGAAAATATTTTTATTTCAAATAGCTTCTAAAATTCACTGAATATTTCTTTTTTTTTTTAATTGCAAGTAAGCATTATTTAAACATGGAGAAAGCATACTGCTGCAATAATTCTATTATCCAAGTTTTGAGGCTAATCTTTTCCAGCATGCCCTTTCCCATGCCTCTGGGAGTCATGAACATCTTTCCTTGAACGCTGCATGTGGAAAAACTTGAAAGAATTAAAAGCGTAGTTAATGCTGCTATTTGGAGTAGTAAGCTTTGTGCATAGCCTTAAGCTTTCAGAGGTATAGTGTTAATCTGCCCACAATGAATTAGTCCACCCAAAATGTCATTTCATATTGCTGGTGCCATCAACTAGCAGATGTCATTGATATGTCCACGCTACTTAACACAGCAATACCAAGCTGGCTAAGTAAGATAGGGAGTAAACCTATCTTCAGGGAGCACCATGCTGGATCTGTGGGTACCTATGCCCATGGAGTTAGCTTGGGCATTTGTACACTGCCTAATATGATGTAACATGGATACATCAACAGCTGCCATGTGAGAGTGGAAAGTTAAGTACTATTGTTAATACCAGGCATATTACAAATTTTAATGCACTCACATATGAAACATCTAAATAGATCTTGTTAGCACTCTGAAGTAAGTGTTATGTGTTTATTTTCTAGGTCATGTCATAGGTGAAGCTCTAAATAACTTCATTCTCATTCTTAAGACTTGTCTTCAGCCAAACAAAGATCCCCAGATGCGGTTAAAACTTTTCACTGTTTTATCACAGTTGCTCCAGAAAGCAAGTGAAACAGTCAATTCTCAGGGGTAAGTAGAGTTCTGATTTCACACAGCTATGTGAACACTACAGTGGCTTTAAAAAGTAATTTAACCCCTATAATTGTGTCCGTGTTAGCATGTCTGGAAGAAGAAAGACTTTCCCACCATCTTCTACAGTCTATTTTTCTTCCTGTATTTTTAAACAATGTTTGGAAGAGCACAGTGCAATAATTATAATATATATATAAAAATAAATTGAAGTCTGGACTTCCTTCACCGTTGTCTTCCTACCTCTGCCACTATGGGGAATTAAAATGGATGTCATGCAGATCTGGATGGGTTTAAAAAAATAGTGAGCTATAGTTGAAAACAATATATGTTTGAAAGCTAAAATGGGGATTCTTAGGAAAGAAATACGGAGAGAGGGTTAGTTGGTGTTTTTTCTTTTTCTCCCAGCCAGCTCCTAAATCCTGAAAATTTGCCTGTAGTCATTGTAAGGAAACATTAAAATACCCCCCCCAAAAAAATATAAAAATGCCCATGATATAGCATGATGTTTAAAAAGCATTAAACTAAATGTTTGTTAAGGAATTATTACTACTCTCAGTGACCAAAGATGGAAGTCTTTTGTTGCTGGGCACTATTTATGCTTTGCAAGTACAATCTAACTAATTTACAGTGCTTATAAAACCCCTCCATTTATAAGAATGCCAGCAGTGGGGCTCTTCCGTCATTATTAATTTAGCTTAGTAGTAGTGTAAACACTTTTGATTCCATAAGAGAATATAATGGGGTTGTCCTTTTTTAACTGAAAGCTTTTGTGCTAAGTGTGTTGTTATCTGTTCCTGTGTTTTGAGGATCCCATGCTAAAATCCCTATTCATATGAAAAATCTCTTTGTAGTCAGTGGATTACTTGTTTAAATAACCATGTAACTAAGTGGTAGTTACAAGATCAATTTAGATATGCAAGAATCTTCCTGAAAGAAAGAAAAGCACTTTGAAAACTATTCTAAGTGTTCCAGGACCTATTTGTTGTAAGCTAATCTGTTGTATCTTAGATCTGTATCATCTGAGAATGCAAAGACTGTGAAGCCAAGAAATGGCATCTCTGTCTTCTGTGATGCCCTGAACACAATAGTAATGCTTATTAAGTGTGCAACAACATATTTCAGTCTAAAAATGGGATAATGTGACTCTCTCATATTTTCTTTTATGGCCTAATTATACTGTCCTCTATTTACTGCAGAATAAATTATTAGCTCCTGTTCATCTACCATACATTCACATTTATTATTTTTTACATTTGTTTTTAAAACATTAAATATGTTCATATTTTCTAAGTATTTAATCAAATTCAGACCTGGTCAGCAAGTTAAGTCACACTGGCATTTCTTCTCTCTACATTTTCAGTTATCTGGTCTCCTGCTCTTCCTTCTCAGAGACAGTGTTACAGGTTACAGCAGAATGGAATTTGAAGCACTTAGTTAAATTCTCTGTTCTGCCTCTTATTGTGATCTACAGAAAATCATTTAGGCTGCATCTAAGCAGAATGACTGGTACATTACATGGCATGCTGCAGAGTCCTGACCTGTAGTTTTCATGACTAGGGTGGCTAGGAGGTTGGAAGGATTTCTCCGTTAACAGAGAGCTTTACTCATTCTTTGTTTCTCACCTGTACAGTAGGATTGGTAGCACTTCTGTCTGAAAGACTCTGAAGTGCTCAGGTAAGTATATTAAGATAGGTCCTGTAGGTACTGCTGGTAGAGATGATCAGTGCAGGATCACATGGAGAACATCATCAAAGAGTAAACTTTTACTTTGACTACTGCCAAAACAAATAGGATGAACAACAAAATCTTTCATCTGCAACCCAGTAATTTGTATAAATAATGGAGCCAAAGAGGAAAGAAAGAAAACCAACCCAATGAGCTGCCAGCTTCACGAGGTTCCCCAGGAAAGGGAAATTATATTAGCATGGAAAAAATAGAAGAGCATGTTTCAATGTAATACTGTCAGTGAATATAGCCACACCAGATCTCCAAAGATAGCAGTGATGGAACTTGTTTCGCTTGGAGCAGTATGAGTGAGTGGCCTTTTGTCAAGGGTAGATACACTCAATTAGATTAATAGATCTGTTTGTATGAAGAACGACTTCTGGCCAAGGATGGCCCAGTCGAACTCATAATGAGGCTCTTAGTCCTCTGAGGCAAGAGCAGTGCAATGAATTTTACCAGTAGGTTCATCTTCGGAAACTAAAAAGCAGTAGAGGAACCTAAATGACTCTTTGAAGTCTTGATCCTACTTAACATTGTCACAGCAAATGCTTTAATGTAGGAAGTAACAGGTAAAGTTTTTGTGTTTGAAGAGCTGTTTGCAAAACATTTTTGGAGGTTTTGATTTGTAAAAGCAAATCCAGTTTTGTTTCAGATTACCTGGATTTAGGATGTTAAGTTTGGGAAAAAACCCATACACACACAAACCCCAAAATACAACAATCCACAAACATACAAAGCCAAGTGCAGCAGTGCCATAAAAGCAGAAAAGAGGCCAATCTAGAACAAAAATGTATTTAAAAAAATAATTAACATGGAGTGAATGTTTAAGTATATAAGTCCATTAAATGGGGGTAGCAATTTTAATGTAAACCCAAGCTCTGCTTTTTATATCTGCATAAGAGCTAGGTATTACTGTATGCACAGTTCATGGTTTAGTTACTTCATATCCAGTTGAGAATAAAGTCTCAACTCTGTGAATACAAATAGCAGAGACAGGGTATGTTCTTTCATAGAAATGACTCACTTTTAGAATTAAGTTACACATATTCACCACAGTAAGAGGGAGAATTTAATTGCATCAGCAACAGCAGAAAATATATCTTAATGGTAATGAGAGATAGCGTAGTGAAGTAGTAGTAAGTTCTGGTTACACAGTCACTTTCACTGCTGGCAGTAATTTGTTTAGCTCCTTAAAAACATTCTACCAGTTTAGATAAGAAAGTTTTCAGTTATTATGCTAAACACAGTTGTGTGGTCATCTAATTTTGTTTGAGTCTGACATGATTTGAGTCAGATAATTGCCAGATACAGCTTTACTGATTCTATTTCAAGGCACTAGAACAAATACTCTCACAAATAGCATAGCATTATGGTTAACATAATGCTGATGGAATTTACCGTTATGTTTTGACAGATTGTTTTTTCTTTGCAGTTTAAGAGAGGCTTTATTAAAAACAGAAGCAGCTACTGATCAGATAGCACAAAGCTGCTTTTAGCTTTGGAGCTAAAAGGAAATTGGGAATGATGGTGATCATTAGTTATATTTTTTCCCCAGCAACTTTTTGAATAGAAAATTATTAATTCTCAAAAACGAGTTTAAAATAATTAATCTGAAGGGTTTTGACAAATTCAGATGTGTCTAATGAGAAATCAGGTTTCTTGGTTTTGCTGAATCTTAAGTGCCATCTGCTGGACAGGAAGCAAGAATGGATCGACTTTCTCAGGCACTGAGTGTTCCCTTAGCCGAGGGCTAAGCAGCAGCCAGCTGAATGTGTTTCATCATGTTGAAGATGGAGATTTTCAGGTTTGTGTGTGTGCAGTAGACATTTAAGGCCTGGTAGGCTGGCTGGTCACACGTCAATCAGGTTACACCTGGATGACAAGGTCTAACTGCAGTGGGTGAAAGGTAGCCACAGGAAAGCAGCAGACACAATTACATTTCTTACTGCATTGATATAATACTTATGGATTTTTTTATTGCTGGCTGATTTTGTTCTGTCATGGAGGGGATTTTTTAAAAAGTTCTTAGTGATAATTGTTTGTTGTTGACATCTACCCATTATGTTCCTCCTGTGGCTTGGCGCATCTCTACAGGAGTCATTTACTCATCCTGGAAATAGAGGACTCTTAGAAAACTCAGCAACAGCTTCTTCCCTTTCTGCCAGGCAGCAGGGTGGTGATGTGCTGTTTTGCACTCAGGTGGCCGTGGTCCAGGTCTGTGGGAAGTTTGAGTACAGTTTGACACACATCAAGGTAGATTTTACCCTGTTATTTGTCAATCTGTTTTGCATGCTGCCAGCTGTTTTTCAGGGCAGAGAGGCACAGTGAATAACCTGAGCCTTAGTTATCTAGACACAGGCAGGCACAAGTGTCTCTTGGATGCAGCAAAGTTTTGAGTTTTTTTTTTAACTTGGGTGTAAGAGCTATATGTTTCTTTCTCTCAATTTAAAATTGTTTGATATGGAATTAAATGGGTGTGAGGGAATACTGGTTGCTGCAATTGCTGATTCTTGTAGCAGCTTTCAGCATTATAGTAGCCCATTCAGCAAAGGAGGAGGAAGAAGCATCACCAAAAATATCACAGATTTGTGTGTTTGTAATGAAAACAAACTAGTATTGGGACTGGCACCATCAGAAAATCCTACAGACCTCCAACCCCTGAGGGAGACGAGTTTCTGAGCCAAGGGAGAGATGAAATATTCTACATAGACTCCCTGCAGTATCAGCAGTTCAGGTCTCATCAATAGCAATCATACTTTTCACGTTATAAGTACTTTTCACTGGACAGTCTCAAAGGGCCTTACAAGTATTAATGAATCCTCACAGCATTCATATGGCGTGTTATCTCCACTTCACAGACGGAGAAAATGAGACAGAGGAAGGTAAGTAGTTTACCAAGATAACAGAGTGAGTCATGGGCATGGTCTGAAGTGGGAGAAAGTCTAGCCTCCCCTTTCCATGAATGTTAGGTATTTGTTTAAACATTATCTAGAAAAATTAAGTTATGAAAAACTTATCACATGCATTATAATCACATTGGCTTATAAGATTTTTTTTTTTTACAGTCCTTTTTTTTCCCCTTTTCTGACTATGTTTCTATAACAGAAAATTCTCTTTTACATCCTGTCAATCTCTTTATCACTTTCTCATGAACATTTATTTTGCTTTCGTATTTTTGGCTTCAGGCTGTTCCCTAGCTACCTTGAGATTGTGATAAAAGACATACTAGCTCCTAATCTGCAGTGGCATGCTGGAAGAACAGCAGCTGCCATCCGCACTACAGCTGTATCATGCCTTTGGGCTCTTATTCACTGTGAAATGCTTTCACCAGAAGAGGTAAAATCTCTCTTTCTCATCAAATGTACTTTGAAAACAAGTGCGGGGGGGTGGAGGGGGGAAGAATAAAACCTTATTGTAAGTAATATTTTGATGGACATACACTTTTCATAATAAAATTCATTAATTGAGTATAAGTAATTGAACAGATCAGTAGTGAAGGGATGATGTTACCCTGATAAGAGATCTGAGGCCAGCAGTGTAGTGAGCTGTAGAACTCGCAGTCATCAAGTTTGTAAATCTTTGTTCTAGCATAATGTCACTTTGGTAGCACAGGACACTCACCACTATTAGCACAGTTTGACATCACTGGACCCCTAAGCTGTGCCTGTGCAGCAGCACTGGAGCTAGCTAGGGTATGCTTTTGTATAATGTGGAAAAAACACTGGTGGTGTTGCCCTGGAGCCCAGAGGTCCATTTAGGGAATACAAAAAAAAAAAAAGGATTCCTGGAAAGGGCAGGAAGACTTGAGATGGAACTTGGAGGGTATCTGTAAAAATGGCAGTAGAGAGCTAACAAGGATTACAATTAAAGAAGTGTTACACACCACAGTGATTATGGATTAATTGAGTCTGAGGGGTTTTTTGAAGCTTCTTTGCTAACAAAAATACCATTTGGAAATGATGCACCGGAAATATGTTTGATATAAGGGCATTTAAAAAAAAAATGGAATTAAAATGTTATTAAATGTTCATAGACTTTATTGTCTTTATAACAGACCTTAATTGAACAAAGTGTTTAAACACATTTAACTGGTTGAGTTCCCATATACAAAAACATTTCTACCCAAGACTATTGTTCTAGTTAAACAATTTTCTGCATCAGTGTCTTAATGCCTGTTTTGCATTAATGAATATGAAATGTACATACTAAAGTCAAATTATGAAGCTCACTAAGACATTGTACTTCAAGAGTCTTTACTTACAAGCTTCCTGTTAGAATAAGAGCACCATCTACTGGTACATATACAAAATCCTCATCTCTAAATTATTTAAACTCTTGCCAACATTTTTTTTTTCCTAAATAAAAAGGCAAGGAAGTTTAAAGCTTTTACAAGTTACATAAAACTCATCTGCATATATACTGAACATCATGAACTGGATGATTGACTGGTGGATTTTAATTTTTCAAGCTTGCTGAGAGGCAAAAATAGAGCTCTTGAACTTCCAGGATTTTTCAGGTTAACTTTTTAAATTAAGCAAGCCAGTATCAGTCAGACCTAATAGTAACTGATGTAACCAAGAAGCGTATTAGTTTAGAGTTGTTTTATGCTTTTCCTGTTAATTGTAGGTCTTAAAAGTCAAAGATGGGCTAATGCCTCAAATTATTGCTGCCATGGATGAAGACTCTAAAATTACTCGACTGATGGCTTGTCGTATTGTTGATGTTCTTATAAAAGTCTGTGGGAGGCAGTTTGAAGAAGATAAATTTACCAATACTTACACAGGTAAGTACGTGTAAAAGTTTTGGGGTTTTTTAATTATTTTTTTTTTTTAAATCAAAATCTTAGTGTTGAAGCATTGCAGTTGCTTTGTTCATAGCTTAGCTTTTAAGGATGAAAAGCACCATGCTGGAGCAGAATGCAGACTGTCCAGCTTTTGGATTCACTGTGTAGGCTGTCCACCTTGCGTGCAGATTCCCTGCAGCTGATAGGGGTGAAGGCACTAATAGAGAGTAGGGAATGACAAAAACTGCTGTATGTCACTGTGGCGTCTGGCTTTAATCCACGTGGAGAGCAAAAAGCTTTTAAGCAGTTGGACATGCAAGTAAGTTGCAGGCTTAGTTTCTCAGACATTCTTACTTCACCCCCATATACATATTCTAATGTTATTCCTGTATTCTCTTACCTGGTATTTTAACTATTTGGGTAGCTCTTCCTCAGAGACATTTCGTAGATATTAAGGAAATAGAGAAAGTAAAGTACTGCACAAAATCATACCATTAGCCACATTTTTGTGTATGAGAGGCAATTTGATGTCTTATTCCTGCAGATACTAAGACATGGTTTTAAACTGATGAGACTGCTTCACGTGTATGAAGTGTACACACACATTTTAGTAAATTGAGGTGTTAAACACTTGAGGAGGTGGTGTTGTGTGACTCCCCCAGCACTTGCTTCTTATAAGTCCTTTCTGTAGTAGGTTTTTAACTGCAGTATGTCATTTCATTGAGGTGGTGTTTTGCAGACAAGTTCATGTCCTTTGGAAGTTCCCTCACTCCCAATTGTGCAGAACTGAGCATTATTCCAAGCATTATTATGCATTAGACCACTAGATGGAACTTCACTCAGTATTATGGTCCTTGCCAGGCTTGCCAGTATTTTATCTGCATTGCTTCCTAGTTTAGACTATATGAAATAACGTTCTAAGTATAGTGAAAGGAGAACAGTAATGCATTATATAAATGGTAGTCACATTGTTCTCCGTGCTGTGTTTGAGGGCCAAGAGCAAACCATTTAATTGTACCATAAAAAGACCTCAATAGGTAGTGGGTTGGGGTTTTTAAATTTAAAAAAAAAGGAGGGGGGGGGAGAGAGAAAAATGAAAACCCTCATCTAGAGTGCTGTAATTTCAAATAGAGCTATTATCTGTGATGCTTCTTAGGATGGTGTTTAAATGCTAAACAATGAATTAAGAAAGTACAGTCTATGCTATGTAACAGGATTTATGTTCTCAGAGATATATACAAATAAATCAAACCTTCCCAAATTCAGCATCTTAATGACTGATATATTTTCTTACATTGCACAGTAGAAAGCTAACAACAAACATTTTTAATTTGGAGAAACACATAATCAGGCAATTGTCAAAGCGTATCTTTGCATCTTGCATATTCAAATAGTCTGCAATGCAGTTATTCACTGAAGTAGTAATATATGATAGAAATACTGTGCTTGATAGAGCATGGAAATACTTAAACTCTATACTTCTATAATGCATTAATAACCATAGCACCTTGTTAGAAAGAGTGGTAGAGAATGTTCAACTAATCTTAATCGTTTTGTAAATTTCTTTTAATGTTTTTGTCACCATAATAATTCAATAAAAATGCACTGTGTGCTTTTAGGAACAACGTACTCTGTGTATACACAGTGTTCAAAATACAGAAATACAAATGCGACAGTAATTTCAGTGATGACAAAATACACTGATTTGTTCAGATGCAAAAGATAACTTTGCTGTTCACAGTGCTATCTGGTTGTGCATGTACTCCTTTTCAGAAGTTTTAAAGCGTCTGGATGATGCTTCATCTGATGTACGACTGGCAGCTGCTCACGCCTTAACGAATTGCTTTAAGTGCTTAAAGAACAGTGATGTGAAATCTGCAATGGAAGGTCATATTGAGTTTCTGTACCAAGAACTGTTGATACATCTTGATGATCCAGATCAAAATATCCAAAATGCAGTCCTAGGTAAGACTTTCAGTCATACGTATTTTCAACAGCACTCTTTAGATCACACTTTCAAGTGTTATGTGAAAGTGGAGCATACAACTAGAGGCTAATCCTAAGAGGCTGGAAGCTTCCTTTGGGTTTCAGTAAGTATGAGCTGAGACCTTTTACCTGAATGCAGAATGTAATGTTTTATCTAGCACTCATGAGAGGGAGAATATGAGTGCAGCTGATATAGCAGAAGACTTTATAGATGGTAAACAGGATATGGAGCTCAGACACAAACCATGGCAGGATGTGACCATATCCTTGCTTGCTTGATGAATTCTTTGGAATTTATTAGTATATTGGTATCTGTTCATGTACATAAATGTTAAAACACAGACCTCAGCTAATGAGGGAGGAAACAGGTTGTCATGACTGCAAAACTTGTAGAACAACTTCCAGGTTAGGTTTCAGATACTCTGAGAGAACTTAGATAAACCCAGAGAGGCTAATGATTTATAAAACATAGAATCATAGAATGGTTAGAGTTGGAAAGGATCTTAAGATCATCTAGTTCCAACCCCCAACATATTTTTGTTTTACAGAAGTTTTGAAGGAAGGAAGCAGTTTATTTCCAGAACTGCTCGTGAGAGAAATTGAAGCAGTTGCACATAAGCATCAGACGCCTGTCTACTGTAATCAACTGCTCCATCACATTCAGTCAGCCAAAGAAACATCTTTATGAATTGATGCTGAAATTCTTTTTCATGAACTGTATGTGAAATCTGTATGATCTGGATTACTTTCATATTTTCATTTGTTTAAGAAAGGCCAAGCAATATATAGGTTGGGGTTTTTTCTTTGGAAGTTCACTATTAGCTCATTTAAAATTCAAATTCTGTGTTCTTTGCTGTTTGAACGGTTCTTTGTATTTGCTAGCATTAAAACAATGTTTAAATTCACTTTGCATTGGAAGTTTTTCAGATACAAGGTTTAAAGAAGAGTGTTTTTCAGAAATTTGATGCTATTTATAATCGAGATAATTTATTTAACAAAGTAATAGTCTAATGTCAAAGTTATTAATGTAATTCAGCAAGGACTCAGTCTTTCAAGGAGCATTTCAAACTCCTGATAAAATCCAATTTTGCAGTTAGGTCTGCGAACATCAGTTTTATCAGGAAAAAAACAAGCCAAACTTCTCTTGCATAATGCAGCAAAATTTGTACATGTTACACCCATACTTACTATGCGACATACTCTGAGTAGGTGTCACTAAAGGAATAGTTTTTATTCGCATTTCATGGCTGAGAATAAAGCTAACCTTTTTTAAATTAAGGTTTATACATGGGAGGAAATGTGCTGTTAGATTAACAGTATTTGTATTTTTGTATTAAATATATTGCATCTGCAGGTTTTGTGTTTATACCATTGTGCCTTGGAAAGCAAGCAACATTTGTTTGCATAGTGCTTTGAAATGAAATTCTGCAACATTAGGCTAATGCTTGATTTACATTTTGAAGAGACATTTGTAGTGTTATCTTATATTCTCAGCTGTGTAATAAAGTGAGCTCTTAGATTCTTGTCTACATCATTGTGGGGTAGTGTCCTGCTTATTGCACACACAAGTCATTGAAAATCAGGATCCTGATTTTTATATTGGGAGGGGGTTAATTATCTTTATTACAGCCAAAAAGTGCTCTTCAGCTTCTAATTTCCAAGTACCCTGGCTCAGTGGGGTTTGGTAATACTCCTTATCCTGTAGGAAGCCCTCATATCTGTTTATTCTTCAGCGCTAACTAATTTTTCAGACTTGTAACACAATTGTTAACCAAACCATGATCTGTTTACAGCAATATCTACTTGCATTCTCAAAGAAACATCTGAGAGAGATTAGATAAACAAAACAATTTTACTCCTACCTTAAAAGGAAAATCACGTAAAATCATGGCCACTTCTCCACAAAATACTATCTAAAAACAATAGTAATATTAATGATACAGAATAATTGAGTAGTTTCTTATGGATCCAAAAGCTCTTTTGCATTCCTGTAGAATAGGATACTCATTTTAGATCAAATTTAGTCTTTCAAGTGGATTTTTCTTTTCATGAAAAGCCAAAATAAAAACATGCCTGTATTGAGCAGCATTTTAGCTGAATAAAAACTGTTAACTGTAATGTGAGGGCCAGCTGAAATTCTTAGAAGGCGCAATATGAGTGAAATAAAAATCCCTAGAAGACCCTAAATGGAGTGAAGAGGTTGTGGCATCTCCAGCCTTGGAGATACTCAAAACTTGAATTAACAGAGTCCTGGGAAATCTGTTCTACCTGACTCTGCTTGGGCATGGATTTGGATCTCTAGAGGCCTCTTCCAGCCTCTGGAATCACATGGAATCACATGTCATGGTTATTCGGTGATTACATGAAATGGTTTCCTTAGTCTAATCAATGATTAAAAAGCCAATTTAGTTAGACTGGTAATAGGCTACATAACTATCCTAGCAGAGCCCTTAGAGTTTTCATTCAACACTGGTCTCAAAAAAGCAAACCAGTTTCAAAGTGCTGCAAAGCAGCAGGTTATTCCAGTGCAACCTAAAGTTTCACCTCAGGAACACAAACTCAGTTCTCACTATAAAGTTCCCTGAAAGTTCACTTTTAGCTTCCTATGTTGGCAAAATTCAGGTTCTTTACTACTGACTTCAGCAGCCTCAAGATAGCTGCAGTGCAAATGTTGTACACGTGCTTTTCATCACCCTTGTGATCTAAAGGAGACATTTGAAAAAACAACTTCAAATGTGGGATTAGAGAAGAGAACCTTCTTTGGTGAAGTGAAATTTAGTCAAAATTGTTCAAAATGTTCTAAAGCTTGTACATCAGGACATACACAAATAGTAAGAACTGAAATATTCAGCAAGCTTGGTATCTTCAGCAGGCTGGGAAATTTTCTTCTGCCTGTGTTGAGCATTTTGTTATCTGTCAGAACAGTCTGTGTGGGATGCCTCTCAAAGAAAAATCTGCGCATCATCTAACAAAACAGCTCTTCTCTTCAGGGCCAGGAGACCTTTTTGAATTTCATATTCTTAATAGTCCTTTTAGAAACATATTAAACAGCAACCTGACCTTGTTTATGCATCTGTGACAAACAAGGTATCTGCCACTACGTCCTTTCATCAGAAAGTGTTCTGGACATAGAAGACTTCAACAATATGCTGGCCCTGCTTATAGTTTACTGTACTTTAACCTCTACAACCCAAATTTCTCAAGTCCCTTTATGAAGAAGTACTTCATAAGGGGATTTGAGAAATCAAGTCACCTGTGGATGGTATATGAGCCTGGGTTTTTAAGTTACTTTCTTTCTCAACTTCAACCTTTTTACAGCATCAGTAGGAAAATACTTGATTTTTTTCTTGTCTCTTTTGCTAGATTAGATATTCTATCTACTAAATTTTAATTGTATTTGTTGCATAATGGTACTACGATCATACTCATTTCATAACTTTTAAGCAAGGACAATTTTGAGGGAGCAAAACTGTTATCAGGAACTTTCAGACTTCTGAGATAAGCAGGCTTAGCCCTGCCCTTCCTGTGACGAACAGATGTGCTGCTGTCTTCGTCCTTATAAGCTGGAAGACCCGTTGTGGAGGATCCTGGGACTTGGATTCTCAGTAAAACAGTTTTTGGTAAGTGCATGCATTTGTCTAACTGAATATAGAATCTTTAAATATTTGTTGGCTACCTTAAAGAGAATCAGTTAACTAGACATTGAGAGGGTGCTGTCAAATGAGGCACCTGGGCTTTGAGAGACATCAGAAAGCATTTTCAGAACAGAGGGGAGGGAGGCTAAGTATGTTCCCTGATCCTTCTACCCCTCATCCATGCAGGTCCCTACAGCACCCCTTCAGGGAGACTGCAGTCAGTCTTTCTGTAGGGCTCTGGCAGTGCACTGTGTAGCCTGAACCCTGAGTGAAGGTGCCCCAAGGTACCTTGTCTGCTTGCACACACAGTGTGCTCCCCAGAGACTGACCTCCAGCTGCACCTGGAGAGCTCTCAGAAACTATAATAACCCATCAGAACTCGAATCTGTTCTGATCTCCACATATAGAACTTTGTATGTACATTACAGTATACATTTATATGTATATTATAGTATCACAACTATCCAACTACCATTGGAAATTATAGTATAGTATATAATTTTAGTAAATCTTTCCTAAACTGTGGTTTTAGTGAAGCTTTACTGAAGTTTTCAGTTATATAAATAATATACTTTTCTATATGGTACAGCATAATATGAAGTTTTACTAAAACTACAGTTTAACTATAGTTTTATATATACTTTTTTACTTTTACAGTTTTTTACTATACTATACTAAAACTAGTTTTACTATACTATATATACTATATACTATGTACTATACTATATACTATTCTATACACTTTCGCTTAAAGTTATACTGAAACTATTGGTTTAGTAAAGTTTTACTATATTATATACTATACAATACACTATTCTGTACACTAGTATATATAAAGTTATACTAAAATACTGTTTTAGTGAAGTTTTACTATACTATATATTAAACACCATAGTATACAGTAAAGTTTTACTAAACTTGTACTATATGCTATGCTATATACTAGACTACAATGTAGTAAAACTATTATAATGTTATTTATATTTATTATTTACTATATTTAAGTTGTTATACTGTAATAGTCATAGTTCTATATATATATAGGTCAGATTAGAGTTCTGTCGGGTTATTGCAAAGGCTTTATCTCAGTCAGAGGAAGTCCCCTGGCTAGAGCACTGCCCCAGATAGAATGGAACATCTGGGCCTGTGGAAGTCAACATCTGATTCATGAGAAGACAAGTTTCTGTTTCATTTGCAGCATCTGTGTTAGATCACACATAGGCAGGTGAGCAGCTTTGGCTAAAAGAATGGGTCAGAGCTGGTTCTGGAGGATACATAGTGGACTGCTCTGTGCCTCAGCCCTTCACATGAAGCTCTAACCATGTTTTGAAAAGAGAGAAACAAAAATAAAGTGAAAAAATCTTCATTATAAGGCAGCCGAAGGATCAACAAAAATTACAGTTAACAAGCTTGCATCCATTTACTGAGATCAGTGCTCCAGGGAAGCTCATGAGCTGCAGTGACTGAGATGAAGCAGCAGATGAGAGCGGGGAGGAGAACGGCTGCTCTGTCGGGCTGCCTTGTATGTAATCGGCTTTTCTCGTTAATGTCTGAAATCCCCTGTCAGTCAGGACGGTGGCAGGATCTAGTGGCAAAATTGAATTGAAGTGCTTCACAGCCCCCTTTTAACTGATCACCTAATTGCTCTGTATGGAGCATCTTTGGCTGATGGCAGTGAGGGTGTAGAGAAAGGGCCTGATGAATTTAACCATAGTGTGAAGCAGATGGTGAGAAACTTTAACAGGCAAGAAATCAGATTTCCAGGTGTATTAGGTGATTTTCATACCAATGCATGTATATGATCACCTCCCCAGCCTTGGACATAAAGGTCACCACACTTCCTCACACTAAGGAACAACTCTACAGCATCCACCTTGCCCAGCAAGGGAAGGAGATTGAAGCAGTAACATGACAATTATGGTGGGAAGGGAAGGGACTAGAGAAATGCAAACCTTGGATTGGTTTAGCTTTGTATTGCAGTTTCTCTATACCGAGTGTAAGGTGAATAGCCTTTTTTTTTCCTAAATTCCTAACTGCCCTCTACAGCTAAAAG